GTGCTGACAAGCCGTTTGCGTCATTAGAAGACGATACCCAAGTCTACTTTCATTTCTTTATTCATGTCTCTTATCTATGTCACTTTCTTACAGTCCTTAATTTTTTTTTTAAATCAAGAGTTTTCTTTCATTTTTTTTTCCCCCATAAATTGTGTCAGTAATCACAATATTTGACTATATCTGTTTATTTTATTTAATGCATGAATGAATTTGTCCCCATGTGGGATTCAATTTTATGTTATTTGAAGTCCCACTCTGGCTTCTGCCGCGGCCCTGAATATAGCCGTGGCACAGATAAGGCCTAGCCATAGATTTGGCCTAATGACTAAAAGTGTTTTTTTTTTTTTTTTGGGGGGGGGGGGGGGGGCCTCTCCACGGGTGATCCTCATCTGCATCATGGCACTTTGTGTCACCGTTTGTTTATCGCTTGTGGGATGTCCTGGTTGGGTAAAACTACCTACCTACCTATTTAATGCAGTGTGACCACGTAATCTTCCTTGACATGTTAAAGCAATTCAGTAGTTTCTCCTGGGGCGAAACAGTTGACCAAGTTTCTCTGCCAAAAAAGTAGAGTGCTGAGAACACAAGCCTGATAGACAAGAGTTTTTGATTGAATCATTTTCATATCTGCCTTACCTATCCTGGTGTTGGTTTCTTAGTCCAGCGATAGTTTGTTTTTCAATGTGGATCCCAGAGAGATAAAACGGTCAACTGTCTCCAGCTCTTCACCGTCAATGTAGAATGCATGTCTGTTATTAACACCTTCACCAAAATCGTGTCTTCTTTTGGCTGAATGTTAGTTCAAACTGACAGCATGCACCAGAAAATTCGGTTAGTAAAACTTGCAGCTTCTCCTCTGATTGAGTGGTAATTGCTGTATCATCTGCAAACAGCAGCTCTCTGATAAGTACCTTTCTTATCCTGGTTTTGACCTTCAGCCTGCGAGCATTGTAAAGGCCGCCGCCAGATCGGAAATGAATGAATATACCACTCTCCTGATTTCGAAAGGCTTGTTCCCAAAAAAAAAAGTGAGAAGTGTATTCCAAAGAGGGTAGGAGCGAGTACACATCTCTGCTTCACTCCATTATCGATTACAATCTTTGAAATAAAAACATGACATACCAGACTTGGAAATGAAAACATGATACATCGATCTTGGATAGTCAGAATGTTTAGCAGGAAATATTTTGAAAGCAAAGGTGGTCAGTGCAACTTCGCCTTCATCACCCATGGAGCGCTGACTAGTGCTGAAGATTATTACAGCACCATATGCCCTGATACTACTAGTATCAACAGTTATAAGACAGAGACAATGACGCTGTACTGGGCACACTCGGAGAAGAAACCAGAAGAGAATCAACAAACAAGCACTGAAATGGGAAATCAAGGGATTGAGGAGACGAGGACGCCAAAAAGAAACCATAAGACGAACGTAGATGAGAGAGGCCAAAACGGCTTGACCTTTCTTCCATTCATGATGTTGAACTGATCACACAGGATAGAACAGAATGAAGGAATAGACTACGAGCCTTATGTGACACATAACAGCACGACATGATAATGAATGAACATGCCTTAACTTTCTAATGGGATTAAATAGATTTTACTTACCAATCTATTCAATGGGCTTGATAGCCTTAAAATACAATCCGACACCTGTACTACTGACACCACTCTCTAAGGGGTTGGGAGAGGGGCTATCTTGAGGGTGTGGCAGGTTTGTCGTCTACGTCACTGTGTGTTAAAGTGACCTAATTTATGCCTAAACCAGTCAGAGTCAGTGTTAGCTGCAATTCAATTAACCATTGCGTGTAAAACGTTTATGTGTTTTCGTTTCATTAGAACTAAAATTGTCTAAGCAATTAAATAGTCTCATAACTGTCAGGTTATGAGGCTGAGCATTTCCCGCCACATCCTGCTAACTCCAACAGTATGTATTAACTTGTGTGCGGAAACTTTTGAAGAAGTGAAAGAATGCTATCAATAATAGTTTTTTCGTGATCTTCCGAAACATGCACCATAGTGTGTCTTTAACCAGCGATAGCAGTTAGTGAGTCTAGAGTAAAATGTAGTAAACATATTTATAGTTAGTGAGTCTAGAGTAAAATGTAGTAAACATATTTATAGTTAGTGAGTCTAGAGTAAAATGTAGTAAACATATTTATAGTTAGTGAGTCTAGAGTAAACTGTAGTAAACATCTTTACAGTTAGTGAGTCTAGAGTATATTGTAGTAAAACAATCTTTACAATTAGCGAGTCAAAAGTATATTGTAGTAAAACAATCTTTACAATTAGCGAGTCAAAAGTATATTGTAGTAAAACAATCTTTACAATTAGCGAGTCAAAAGTATATTGTAGTAAAACAATCTTTACAATTAGCGAGTCAAAAGTATATTGTAGTAAAACAATCTTTACAATTAGCGAGTCAAAAGTAAATTGTAGTAAAACAATCTTTACAATTAGCGAGTCAAAAGTATATTGTAGTAAAACAATCTTTACAATTAGCGAGTCAAAAGTATATTGTAGTAAAACAATCTTTACAATTAGCGAGTCAAAAGTATATTGTAGTAAAACAATTTTTACAATTAACGAGTCAAAAGTATATTGTAGTAAAACAATCTTTACAATTAGCGAGTCAAAAGTATATTGTAGTAAAACAATCTTTACAATTAGCGAGTCTAAAGTATTTTGTAGTAAAACAATCTTTACAATTAGCGAGTCAAAAGTATATTGTAGTGAAACAATTTTTACAATTAGCGAGTCAAAAGTATATTGTAGTAAAATAATCTTTACAATTAGCGAGTCTAAAGTATTTTGTAGTAAAACAATCTTTACAGTTAGCGAGTCTACAGTATAATGTAGCAAAAATACTTACAGTTAATTACTCTTCAGTAAAACGTAGTAAACACGTTTACAAATAATTAGTCTACAGTGAAATGTAGTAAACTATATACAAATAACGAGTCTGCAATAAAATGTAGTAAATATATTTACAATTAACCACTTTACTGTAAATACCATCAGTCTGCATGTTACAGTTATTGTCCTCTGTTCAACAGAAATGACTTCAATGACTGGCAATTTATGTTGCTAACTTGACCTTTTATTGAAACTTTTACAATAAAACACAAGATATATCTTATTCTGGTGTTGTTACTTCGAGCAGAACAGCCGATATTTAAATGTAATGGCACTTTATCAAATGTAAACATTTCTATGTAAATGTTACTATTTTGTTATTTTTAAAATCACAATGCAGTGCACGCAGACGTAAATAACACCGACACGGTCTGAATGTTTAAGAAATCTGGCCCAGTAAAAGAACCAGCTCTCCAAAACTGGAAGTTTACTTTCATCAAATCTCGCGTGGTTTATCAAGAAACTTGTGGTGCCTTGAAACCGACGATCGTGACGCTGGACACCGGATACCAAAGAGACCCTGCCTATGGTCAGTCATGGGTGTGACAGTGGAACTGGGAGTAAGCCAGTAAAAGACCCTTTGGCACGACTTCGGGAGTACTGGGCACATAGGGCTAGATCTATATTTTATAGACCAGTTGTCACTTGGTGGATGATGTGGTCAATATCACACCGGCAGCCTTTACTTCCCGTGATTGAAACTGGGAAGGGTCCAAGAATATTTGCTGCTGTCTGTAATAAGAGCAAAGTTCTGGCAAGTGCTTTTCTTCTTGCTCTGGTACACAGTGGAGTTTTGCAATGACTCGATCCAATGACAGTGTACAAAGTCCGCCTCGACTCGCCGGAACTACTCATGGAATCACTCAGCACAAACACGTGAGAATAGCCCAGCGACGTTAGCCACATGAAAGCTCGTGTTACCGCCATCACCTCCATTGTCATGGTGCTAGTAGTCATACAAAAGGCACCGCTGGCCTCTTGGGCTGTTCTGTCTGTAGAGCAGCAGTAAATGCCCATGCATTGTTTTTCCCTGGCCCAAGGAACCCATTAGTGTAGATCAGTACATCCGCCTCACCTGTAGATGCTTTAGTTCATGGCCAACGGTTGTTGTACAATTGGGAGCTAGGGGAAAGGTAACTATCAACTATTCACATTGTTACGGTAAAATTTAAGAATTGGCGTCAAAATATCAGTAAAATAATCAAGATGTCAAGAATATTTGATTCCATTATTTTTTAGAGAACCTGGCGGGCATTGTTAAACTCCATATAGAGACTTCATAGGGACTAACAGCTGTCCCCATGTGGGATGCAATTTTTCGTTATTTGAAGCCCCACCCTGGCTTTTACCAGGGGTCCTAAACATAGCTGGGCCTGAAATATGGCATAACGGATGAACGGAGTTTCCGGGACCTCTCCACAGGTGATCCTCATCCGCATGGTGGCACTTTGTGTCATGGGGTGTTTATCGCTTGTGTGATGTCCTGGTGGGGTACAACATACATACTTCCTAGGGTCCCGATGTAAGTAGTGGTACATGTCAAACTCTGAGACTTCCTTTAGAATTGAGTGTAAGAACATAAACAGAATAACACGAGTTAAGAACACAGTGATACATGTGTGTACCAGTGAGATAGTTGGACATAGACACATAAATGGACGAGATATGGCACGGTTAGAGAAAGCATCAAATCGACACTAGGTTGTCCGCTGCTGAAGCATAAAATGTTGAGCGATTCCACGGGCGAGTGGACTGCCAAACAGATCCGGGCAATAACTGTGCTGTCTCC